GAAATCAGGGGACAAAGACTCAGGGATACATAAAAGGATCTGTGGATTGAGTAGGCTATTGTGTTGAAGGGGTGGATTAATTCTTGCAGCGTTGCGGGGGAGCATTCCAATACAATGGCAGGTCCATTTAAATGCCTACATGTACAACCTCCAAAATGTAGCTGTAGCTTATGTTATGAGAGCTTTGAAAGTCCTGACTTTATACTTGGCATTCTAATATAAGGATATTGTTGCTGTACAAATTTTTGGATTGGGGATTGCATTTTGGATATAGGGAGAGAAGTTATTCCAAAGTTTGGGCTCGGCCACATAGAGAAGTCGGTCACGGGAGCTCGCCTAGGTAAATCGGTGAAGTCGAGTCATTCATTTTTTCCTAGCTTGAAACTATAAATACTAAATGTGCCTAGTCTTTCTCTATCTAGGAAAGGCATCACAACACATGTAAATGTACATGTACATTCATACATGTATACAATACATAAACAGTAAGGTTTCTTAAAGTACATCTTAAAGCTATAAAAACAATTCCAAATATATGTATCTGTAATTAAACTTTGAAGTACATACATGTAGATTAAAAAATGGAAGGCTTGCTTGATGATAAAATATAAATCTGAAATTGGTACTTTTTCCCTTATGATATTATGAATGGCAAAGTTTTCTCTAAAAAAGTTTGGCTACATGTTTGTGTAGGCTTTACATCTGTTCTGTATGCCTGGTTTATATGAATTTTACTCACAAAAAAGTATTTCACATACTCTCAAAGGTACATGGCATGGAAGCTCATTATCAAGCAAGGAACTGAAAGGTCATTATCAACAAATGAACCTTTTTTTCTGAATTCCACCATAACTTCCTGGACTAATATTACATGTAAACCATCTGCTTTTGATCACTTCAATAGCCTGTTGCCACAAACACAAACTTCAGGAAATAATAGATTTAAAAGTAGACAATGGATCGAGAGAAATTGAAAGTTACAACATGCACAGAAAGAAACTTTTCAAAAAAGTCAATCAATGTACCTTCCTTTGATCATCCAATTCAAGAAGACGAATCTGTAAAGTATCAGATGACTGGATAAAATATCCTCTTGAGGTTTAAAAAGAAGAACTGTATCACTTCTCCCACAAGTACAGGTAAACTTCCTGTCTATACCAGTCAGTGTCTTGGACTCTCTGCAGTGGTGTTAAACCACAAGTGATGCAGCACTGAGGCAATACCACCACCTACCTCTCACCAATGTTTATCGTTCTACTGAATAACAAACTCGAGGGCAATCACATATATGAAATGCAAATCAAAAATCAATTAGCAAACTAATCGTTCAAACATGCGTGATGAGGTAGCACCGATCCACCCAATGACCCACTAACTCGTCATGGATGGATGTAAACAAGGGAGTCATGTGATGCTGGGAGGGGGGAGGGGGCTGCTGCCGGGAGGGGGGAGGGGGCTGCTGCCGGGAAGGGGGAGGGGCTGCTGCTGCATCATCAATCTCCCATGGAAAAATACCTTGCAACCTAGTCACCTGGCGAGAGATAGACAGGTTTGAAATATCAGCACATCTGTTGTCGTCTCACAGCGATATGATTAAGGTTGATGAGATGCTCAACACAATGGGCTTTACCAAGAAGAAGAGTTGATTCAATGACCTGCATCATGCATGCATGTACTCCCATTCCACCACGAGCCAGGATGTCACATGGTGTATAGAGAGAGAGAGGGATTGGGTTCCCCTCACTCTTCAAAGGTTCCTTCCGCTCGCTCGGAGCTAGGCTAGCTTCCAATGATGCGCAGCTCAGTTCCAAAGTACAACCTGTACTTTCTAAATTGTTCTGAGCAAAGTCAACTCATTACCCTGTTCTCATGAAGATTGTAATGTACAATGTATACTTGTGGAGGGGGAGGGGAGCGCTTTACAATTACATTATCAACAAAAGCAAAGGAACCAAAGTTTGCAAAGCTCATCCATATTTTTTCGTTGTTGACAGATTGCCATGAGCTTCTACTAATAACTGTAGTACAAGTTCTGTACACATTCATGTTTTAGTTACACTAGGCACTATTTTAAATCTGACTGTGTACAGTACATGTACAAGTACATTTGTTTCTATCTTGTATGAAGTTGTAAATGTATATTTTTGTACTTTTTTTTATCCTTTTAAAAAAGCATTTGCAAAGGTACATGTAAATTGCGAAGTGGAAGATTTACAACCATAATGCAATGCATGCTGGGATTTATGTACAGAGTGAGTCATTTCACCCACCAGACATCTTCTGTGATAGCATGGGAAGACGACATCTGGCACCCAACCCAGGGTCAGGTCATTCACACACAGAGACTTCTCTGCTAGTTTGCAAGCAGAAACCCTTGTTAGGATTGTAAGACATTTGCTCAGGGACCCGTTTCACAAAGCCTTTTTGCAATGGCAAATTACAAAAATCAGTGAGATATCTGCTGATACTGGTAATCAATCAGAAGCAAGGATTTCAGTAGCTGACAACAAAGACTGTCATTTGTCACTGATGACAAGTTTTGTGAAACGGGCCCCAGAAGACAATATCTCTATGACAATTTCCTACACTATTTGAATTCTGAACTTCAACCCTGGATCAAGTACAATACCTATTACCCTAACCCTGGGCTCAACACTTACTTTTTTGAAGGGGATCCAGACCTAGTCCCAATTCCCAAGGAAATTTTCACTGTCAGTATGCAAGAGCCCTATGTAAAAACTTCATCACTTGGGGTGTCCTGAATTAGATTTTGGCCGTCCGTGTGTCCCTAGTGCCTGATAGTGTTGAGCCCTGACTAACCTACATGTATAAGTCTAAAAACCCATTAGCAACCCTAAACCTAACCCTATACATGTACATGTACTTATGACAAAATAATGCTCCAAGCAATTGTCGTTGAGGTGTAAAATTGGAGTCTGCTCTTGCAGACTATTTGTCTACATGCATCGTCAACTGTGCAATGGCACATGCCCTGGTCTTCGAAGGTCCCTGGGAAATATGGAGTTGTGGTATTCAACAAAAAAAGATATCGAAGTTAACTACTTGCTAAAATCATTTGAAGTGTTTTATATATTATAAATATTAGTTCTTGGACTTGAAAATTATATTTAAAAACTTTAAAAACTGCTGAATACAAACAACAAACAAGGGAAACGCTCTCGGCGGTCTCGCCTGCATTACGCAATTCAATATGATGAAAAATTGAGGTTGGGACATTATTCATAGACAGGGTGGCCAATTAGCAGGCCCCCCCCCCCCCCCCATGAAATCCTCTAAATATAATCAGCATTTTGAAGTGAATATTGACCAAGAGTCATTGGAAGAATTATTTACTATAATTTGTCCCAAGATTAATAACTTGAATGGAACATGAAAAAATAACGAAAAAATGATTATTTTTTTTAAATCCTCACATACTGACCTAAAATTACCTATAAAAATAAAATTGTCTATGCCAAACAAGGACATAAAATTAGCTGTGTAGAAATATAACTTTTCCCATTCTTACTTCTTAGTTACTTTGCATATAGGTACATGTATTCTTTGAACTAACGGTAAGTAAGTTGGAAACAATAAAAGAAAGTCTCGAAGCTCTCAGTAGGACTCACAGATATTTCTACTTTTGAAAAAAAGAACAGTGTAAAGGACGCAAAGAAGTACGAGATTGATGAAGTATTTCAATCGCATCCCACTTTTAATTATTATGTAACAAACACTGTTCTTTGACCATCATTTTCATGTAATGAAAACACTGAAAGCATGTAACACACGTCCATGACAATTGGGGGTTCATTGCTTAAAAAACAATAACAAGTTTATAATCCAGAAACCTATTTGCTAGATCTGATTAAAAGTTTGAAGGATAAAATGAAGAGATAAAGACCATCACACCACTAGCTCTTATCAAGAAGTGTGACCTTACAGTGACCCTGGCAGATCATACAGCACAGGACTGTCTTATCTGCTCACAGTGGAAACTTTTCAGAAACTTTCAGAAACATGAGTCTTGAGATGGGATTGAGATTGGGTCATTGTAATTTGAAATGAGAATGCTTATTTGGTATTGTCACAAACTGCATTTACATGTACATATGCACGTTAGTCACGTAAGCCAATCATGCAATTTGAATGAATGCAACAGCAATAAAACAAAACAATTGTGAACATGTACATAGCCTAAATATCGTCACAGTTGCGGATATTCCTGATCACAGTAAATTATTCTACATGTACAAGTAGATCTATCATTCAATGTTCAGCTACCTGCAGCTACCAACACACACTGAGCTGAGTCAACCATCTGCAAGAATCTTCAAACCTGAATTACTTGAAGGAGGCAGATGTAACCCGAAGAAGAAATCAATTAAAATCATAAAATCTCAAGCTCAAACTCTCTCTCTCTCTCTCTCTCTCTCTATTAAAGTATTATAACTCTCACTTCCTTCTTCCACATCTATAAATATATTCTACTTGAAGTAAAGCATCTTGATTACCACTTTGTGAATGCACACAAAACACTGGCAACGATATGACACCCTACTCTTTAATACGGGTAGCTTTCCCACATTTTATAAGTTATGGAAATGAAGGATAGACCTAGGTCTAGGCAAATTTATAATTAAACAACAAATTTTAATAGACTCTAAGTTACATTTCTCTCAGTCCCCCAAGCAAGGATTCCAAAACTAAACTAAAAGTTAATTGTATTTGTACATCACAACATTTTATATTTCCATACAAGCTAACTTGTTACAAATTATTGTCAAATAAACAAAACCAAATCAATGATGAATGAATATTTATAGACTCAAGATCTACACCCCTGCCACACTTCAACTAGCAACCACTTGGAGTAACAAGTAAAATGAAGTTAATTGTCTTGGACCTTTTTTTTTAGCCTTTTTAAACTTGATTTCCCCCCCCCCCCCCCAACCCCCCTTCACCAGCATGCAACATTGTCTTGTGACGAGCAAACTCACCTAAATGGCAACAAAGTAGTCATTGGAAGTAGTGAACTGGAATGTTAACGAATGAGTTGATTGGGTTAACTTGTTGAAGTTGATCCGTTTCCCGTGGAGCTTGGAAGATCAACTCAGTGCAGTGAGGACGTCTGAATGGATCTAGAGAATACGCAGGACAAGTACAAGCCAACTGAAAAGGCTTCGCGAGAAAAATTCGTTCGGAAAGGGGATTCATTTAATTAATTATAAAGCTAACGAAGACTGAAAAACATATTCGACATGACTCTTGAGGTATCTGAGGATGCGTTGGTGTCTTGTTGGCACAGGACCAGGCTTTGATGGGGCCAAAATAGGCCGTCAAATTATAATGCCTCTCCGGCCCTTCGCTTGCAGTCCTCTCGCCCTCGTAGTCCTCTCGTACAGTAAACCTCAATACACAAAAACAAGCCCGATTCGATTCCCAGTGATTTTCCACGTAGCGTTATATGCATAGCACGTAAACAGAGAGCGAACGTTCAACTTGTTTACAAACAAAGACTGGAATTTGACGACGACGCATCGACGCACGAAAGTACGCACAGCGTAGAGGTCGCTTTTTGCCTTGATGTCGCAGTGATCTTCTTTCTTGTTTTTCAATCCACGTATAGCGCATCCGGACAGTTGATATAAAACAGCAATTTAAATAAGTTTACAAGCAATCCATTTCCGAGACTTAATGTGTTTAGACAATATTATAAAGGACACATATTAAAGCGAAGCTTATCTGTACTAGTTTACAGGAGGGATTAGACCGCTCTGCAATGTCATGGACAGGTGGTTATCTCATCAACTCAGCTCTCAGTTAACATAAGAAAAAGAGGATCAAGGGGGACCAATGGTCACCGATTACCGTATGCATTGTTTGTTATAGGGCGCAAGTAGCTACAGGTAGTGCAGTGGGCATTTAATGATGATTGATGTTATTTGATGACTATTTTTTCGTTTAATCCGAACGACCCCAATACAATCAAATAATTCTGACTTTCGATAAGTTTGGGTGGGATAAATGGATCAAAATTATTATAAGCAATTAAAGGTAAAGACCAGTATTGGAAACGCCCCAATTTCAAAAAATGAAATGGAAGCTCTCATTACCAATCATGTGAAAGAATATGTTTTGACTAATACATGATGATAAAAAATTTGCCGGGAAACCGCCTACTAATTCATATATTTGGTAAATTTGTTTTTCTCATGGTCTGTGAGAGATATAGGGTAGTCCCATATAGTTACATCTTTCTGTGTATAGTGCTTGTAACTTTACGAAGAATGGGCCAAATTTAGTTATCATTCTGATGATTCCAGAACCTTGCAGATGCTAGATGCTAGATGATCAACCTTTTCTGATCGATTCCACAACGTTTCTTTCACAATGCAATCGCATGACCATAACTGGTATTTACCTTTAACCCAAAAAAAGGGAAAAGAAAAAAATAAGGAAAAAGGGAAAGGCAAAGGAAAAACAGCAATTACAGAAAAGGGTCTAGCTTGTCAAGTTGTTATAGAGAGGAATCTTTGGCAAAATCATAAGAGATTGCTCTCTCAAAAACCGTTTGTGTGCATGTGTGTGCATTTGTTATTATAGAGAAAGAGAGAGAGAGAGAGAGAGAGAGAGAGGAGATGAGGAAATGTTTAGTTTTTATTTGTTTCTCATTTTTTAACGGCTAGTTATCTTTTATAAACTATTATCTATTATCTATTCCGTAGAGGCTACATTATATTATTTTGACTTTTTCTGTAATCAATAATGAATTACATATGGACCGAAACATGTAGAATCTTTAGCGTATAAGTCGTTGAGATTCTGTCAAATTTGCCCGATAGGCCTCACGAATTCCCCCAAAAGAAAGCAAATCTATTAATTTAATTTCGAGTTGATATGGATGTGTTGGAGGCTAAAGGCTTGTTAATAGCCTATTTGGCGCGGTAAACAGGCGCAAGAAAAAGAAAACGCGCCTGCTTTTTTTTTTTCCCCGGCGGCTTCTCGCGCATAATCCGTACAACTTGGCCCCGAGTTGAGAAAGAAAGATCATTTTATTCAATGATTTGTTTGAAACAATAACACCTATGAATTTCACATCTGCGATTTGATTAGAATTCGCCCCCCCCCCCCCATAGAAAACTATAACAACAACAACAAAAAGTAGACCTTATCGGTAAGTGTTACTCATTTTTAAAAAGTTTTTCTTCATTCATCTGGCTTTTATCCTTCTTTATCAATCAACCAGTTTCACGAATTTGTCCTTATTCTTCAGTCAGGCTTATTCTTCATCATCATTCCTTTTCTCTTCTTCTTTATCTTCTTCTTCTTCTTCCTCTTCTTCTTCTACTATTCTTCTTCTTCCTCTTCTTCTTCTTCTTCTTCTTCTTTTTCTTCTTCTTCTTCTTCTTCTTTTTCTCCTTCTCCTTCTTCTTCTCCTTCTTCTTTTTCTTCTTCTTACTTTTATTAATATTATTATTATTATTCATAATTATTATTAGGCCAAATTATGATTATTATTGTTTCATTTCTTTTCCTTCTTTTTCATCTTCTTTTTCATCTTCTCCTTCTTCTTCTTCTTCTTCTTCTTCTTCTTCTTCTTCTTCTTCTTCTTCTTCTTCTTCTTCTTCTTCTTCTTCTTCTTTATAAATTATTACTACTATTATTATCATTATCATTATTGATATTATTACTATCATTATTATTATTATTTCCATTATCTTTCGTATAATCATCATTCTGAGATGGCGCCATTCAACTTATATCTATCTGTACTTTAATCTTGCCATCTGATGAAAAACAAATAAGATGTCCATAACAACATTGAGCAGACCTGAACATAAATCAAATGCAAGACGAATGGTTGCCCGGAGAAGGGGCACAACGGACAGGTATTTTGTGCCACTGTCTATTTAAACAAAGGCAATTGCGGCTGTCGTTTTTCCCCTTTCCGAACTGCTATACCGTCTTTTCCGTAATCAATGATTTTGATAATCCTTTTGCTGCACATTTAGTTTCAGCCACGTGACTAGGGTCAACAAAATAATTTCAAACATAGTATGGAGAACAATAATAAGCTGTACCTGGCGTATAGCGGGCGGATAACAAGATAATTATGTTAAAATAAACGGATTCACCTGAAAAACGACTACAACTAAAAATTATCCACAACTGTTTTCTTGACCTGCTCTTCAAAATGGCAGTACTGTAGGGCATGGCAAATGAAATAATATAACCCCATCAGATATTGTTGTCTGCAAAGATGTAAAGTATTTGTTAACCCAATTAATAAAAATACTACTTCAAACAATTTGAATGAAATGCGCTTAATCATTGTTACTATACTAAAGTTGAATAACATAAAGAGTTACTATAACAAATCCATAGGCCTATAATAATAATAATAATAATAATAATAATAACGTTTTATTTACCCAGGGTAGCCACTTCAGTTATGAAACTGCTCTTCCAGCGGGCCCTGCATAACATAATATGTTATTACTACCCTTCTCCAATCTAGTATGCTGAGCGCCTAGCTAGAAGGCAGAAGGTCCCATTGTTCTAAGTCTTTGGTATGACTCGGCCGGGGTTCGAACCCACGACCTCCCGTTCATGAGGCGGGCGCTCTAACCACTGAGCCACCATGCCCGGTATTTAAATGGGTCACATCATTGTGACTACGCCTATAAAATGATATATTACAATCATAGCTTTTTTTTACATTTCTTTCTGAATGATTTCTCACAAATCAAATTAGTAAAAATCCCATCACATCGCGTGATGTTTGAAAGGGAAATGCTTTTTTTGTGCATGTGATTCATGGGAGAGAGGGAAAAACACATGAAATTCATGCCATACTACTGTTAGTACCAATTGCAATATTATTTGTTAACATGGAACACAAATTGTTTCCTTCTTCTCAGTCGGAAACACGTTTCATTGTAAGTTTCTGTTTCGTTATTTCACATTTTTGTATCATTGATACAAAAATATTATAATATAAAACAATACTTTGTAAATTATAATCACACGAAAGGAAATTAGATACAAAGTCATTTACAAATTAAGTTATTGATCGGGTTATTTAACAGCATTTATATAAGAAGACGAATATAGGCCTATTTATTTGATAGTGAAAAATGACGTAACTTAATTGTAATAAGCAAAGCTTGCAAAGAATCGGTTCCGTACAAAATAATGATGAAGAAGATTGTCGATAATCTGACATGGCGCGATGAGAAAAATATTTAAAAAACAAGTTAAAGTAATAAGTGAAGTGCAAGTGCAGCGATGTGGAAACAAATCAGTTGTGGTCACTCAAATACGAAATAAGACGAACGAAATATGATAAAATGCTGAAGCCATAGCTCCTTAACAGGCTTTTTATCTGGATATTATCTGCATTATTTCATATTAATTTTGTATACCTATCTTCACGTTGGTTAAATAGATGTGTAGGCGAAAAATAAAGTATAAGCTACCTGTGATTTCAGGAACGGGATAAATTAAAAGTACACAAAAATTATTCAACTCATTTTGAATTCTTATTTTTTCTTCAAATCGTTAAGTTCAAAAGTACCAGAATGAACTTATTCAATAGTGTGATTACCGTTCTCTTGAATGAAACAATTCAATTAAGAATAGCAAATAAAATGTACTATTGATATACCTCAATAAGTCTCGAGCATCTTACTTTTAACTTTGAAAACAGTCTGATATCTAAATTGAATAGTAATTAGTATCAGTACTGTCTTATGATTTCTTGCAATAAGAAATACTCATTACAACGTTCCACATTAAAAAACAATATGATTTATACCATATAAATCGTTTTCCTTAATCTGAAGAAGAAAAGAAAAACACTTCCTTATGTTATAGTAGAATGTATTTTATTCCAGCACTCAGTGAACACCGGAACGAATATTACCGACAACACCGGAATGGTTAAGAGCAGGTTTCGAGAAGCGATTTGTTACTTCTTCAATTCATATTTTAGTGCAAATTTTAATTCACCTCAAAGTAACATTATGTTAATGCTCATGGTGCTTAAATCGTTATTCAGAAAAAGGAAAGAAAACTTAATTTCCCACGAGGCGCTTCCCAATACCAGGTAGCTAGTTTTGTCGTTAATTGAGAATGCTCAATCTGGAACATGGAATGCTAAATAGTTCGGCAGTCTTTCTGGTGCCGTCGTCAGTTGAAAGGATCTACTACGGCCGACATGTCTCATTACATTTGATCTAACGGGCGAGGCATGCGGTCTGCTTTTCTTCGGTATATTTCTGGGTAATTTCGTATACCATTTTGAAAAAGGAAAACAAAAATTATGTCAAAAGCAATAAAATTAAAACAAATTATATATACTTCAAGTTTTATGAAGAATCAGATCAAGTTGGATATAATGACACATTTGTCACTAAACTTTACTTAAGTTGCCATGTTAGGGCCTATATTTTCACTTTTAATAAAATTTAATAATTTTGAAGAATAGGTCGCCCCTCAATGCGGGGCAAGTCCGCCCTCGGGTAAATATGTCCAGCCAAAAACGGGCGTACTAGCCGAATGGGGCTGCCCACCCCCCCCCCCCCCCCCCACTCAGGGGTCGGAATGACCACATGCGTGTTGCCAAAATGTCCGGTAAAGGGGTACTTTTCGTGCGACAAAGTCCGGCCCGAGAATTGTTAAAAAAAAAGGGGGTGTATTTGACTTTTCACCCGGAGATTTCTTTATAAAGGGGTTGTTTTTCCTCTTTTTTTTCTCATCTCTTTGCATGGACTCCTGAGAAGTTATTCCGAATTTAGGGGGGGGGTGGGTATATTGAGCATTTTTCCTGATTAAGGGGGGTCTGCAAGGTAGGAAAAGCCCGCGAAAGGGGGTTCAGAAATGTTGGCAGTCCTCAGATAGGGGGTGCTTTCAAAAAGAGGGAACGAGCATTATGCGTACCCTAAATAACACTGAGTGGGGAGGGGGCGGGTGGGGCTGTTATCGTCGTTTAAAGGTACTATGTCCCATTTGCAAGCCAAAAAAATGAAAAGGTTAAATCCCAACGGCATTTGAAAGATAATACTAATGTAGAACTTCCCTAAAAAAGGTGGGGCTTGAAAATGTCTTCAAGTGGGACCTCAAATAACGACTATTAGTTGTCAAATCGACTTAGGAGCTATAGAGCCAATAAGTAATAGTCTCGGATTTACAGACCGTTGTACCGAATGGTCATACGTTTTATGCTGCGCAAAGATTCCATCAGTTTAATTTTGGCCATCACAAGAAGTGGGTTATTGATGTAGACAAAACAATGCTCATGTACTCTTTACAGCTCATTTTATGTATGTTATTACCAAAGAAGAAAATAAGCCATTCAGTCACTCAATAGTGTCTGATAGTGAAGTCTAGCAAGTAAACGGGTTTCCTTGCATAATTTGAATATTAGGACACACTAACGTTTAGATTTCACAGATAGGACAGATAATTCCTGCAAATTTCTACAAAATATGAGGTTGGCTGCAAAGTAGACACATAACATACCCTTTTAATAACAAAAGTAACTTCTTGCCATAATTACCTTCATCAATGTCTACAGGTAAATTATATATTATATATATTTAATATAAACATTGTAAATGCAAACATGTGAAATATGAAGAAAAAAATCAACTGAATCCTCGTGTTTTTGCAATCTCTTGTCACTGTTGTCTACATCTATTGCCTACGGAATAAAGTTTTTTTTTTAAGGGTATCGTGATTATGGTCTACAAAGCGGACGATTTGGAGAAACTAGCTGAATGCTGAAAGTTTGAGAATTATAATCTTCTTCTTCTCCTCTTCCTCGTCCTCCTTCTCTTTCTTCTTTCTTCCTTTTAAATTGTACTCTTTTCACTTTATTGTACAACGTGAGTAGATACATGATGAAAGACAGAAAAAGAAATTAAATGTAAATGATACTAGTTAAAAATCAGTGATAAAAAACCTTTTCTACCCAGCTTCGTCTGAAACTACTGAATATTCAAATTTCCTCATGCATATTGCATTGCTTGATTGATTGATTGATGAATATTCATTAGCCACTTGAGACGAACTGCGGAACACTGCTTGTTTGGCGGTTTTATCATTGAAATGTGAGCATATTCTCTTATAACTTCTATATTTTTTAAGATATTGAACTTCAGGAAATTAATAAAGATAACAATTTAATAAGATTCGTACATGCTTACCGTAATTTGCTAGAAACAAAACATAACCCCAGAGCATCAAAACTTTTTCAGTCCCATATAGGCCCCTATAACATTTTGTGTAAGTTAGTTAGTTATGGGAGTAATAATCGATGCCAATCACACATAGCTGCATCACTATCCTGGCTGTGTATTAAAAATTGTTCTATTGATTCTCAACATTTCAAACACCACTGTAAAAAACTCAACTGAGGTCTTTTACTAGCGACAACTAAAATAAATAGCTGTAAAATACAATCTTTTCAACTTACCGATGTCAATGTGAGAAAGAATATTTTGAAAATTCAAGCTGACTCTACTGTCAAACTAGACCGAAAGCTTCAGTCTCTATACCGTCGGTTGTTCCACTGAGACTACGTCTGGATATATGCACGAGGTAAAATGACATTTTGGGGGATTTTGGAGGCATAACTATACGGCCGTGGCAAGTTTGTTCATGTTTGTGGGAGGGGCCTAACGGCTAAAATCTAGCCGTGATATCTTCAACATAGGCTGGCATAGGCGATCGTTCAGTCTCTATAACCGGAGGTCTAGTGGAGCCAGACGTAGTCTCAGTGGAACAACCGACGGTATAGAGACTGAAGCTTTCGGTCTACTGTCAAACTTGCTGGTCAGCCACTTTGTATTCATTGTGTGCAGTGTGTGTATTGTGTGTAATTGCTACCTCTCAGCAAGTATACAGCGCTAGAGGTCAATAAACATTAGCATGGACTCTATGCTTTACTGGAGTGATGCCAATGTAATCCTTTGTTTCATTGTTCATTCTTTAAACTGTATAATAGCACTCCAGCAAAGCATAGAGAGTCAATGCTAATGCGTATTGACCTCTAGCACTGCATGCTTGCTGTGAGACAGGTATTATTATACCCATACACAAATATACACACCACACAAAATCGCATAGACTGTACACAATCATGTCGATGCAGCTGTAAGCAAAGTTTGACACTAGACTTACGATTTGAATTTTTAAATTATTCTTTTTAACATCAGTAAGTTAAAACAAATGTATTTTACTGCTATTTAGTTGTTATCAATTGTCACTAAAGTACCGATTTTGAGTGAAATTAGTCGAGTTTTGTACAGTGGTGTTTGAAATGTTGAGAATCAAAAGCACAGCTTTTACTACACAGCTAGCCAGGATAGTGATGCTCCTATGTGTGTATAATAGCAGAGACGCCGAGTTCAAAGATCCGCAATGCATGACATTGCATGATTCGGCGCGCAAGCGCGCGTGCGAGGGTATAACACACATATAAGGTATAGCGTTTTTTCAAAATCTAGCACGCGTCGTGTGTAAGTGCATTTTCAAACCCTCGATATGGGTGATGTCACGCCTAATGCGTGATACTTGGTAGCTCTGTAATAGTTGCAACTTTTCTTTGATAAAACATTGTTATATTCTTTTTCATGTGAAGTCAATTCAATGTTAAAGGTAAAGACCAGTATTGGAAACGCCCCAATTTAAAAAAATGAAATGGAAGCTCTTATTACCAATCATGTGAAAGAATATGTTTTGAATATTACATGATGATAAAAATTTTGACGGGAAACCGCCTACTAATTGATATATTTGGTAAATTAGTGTATCTCTCGCCTGTTGAGAGATATGGAATGCATGTGTCGCGCACGTGTGTGTTGTCCCATATACATCTTTCTGTGAACAGTGCTTCTAACTTTATGAAGACTTGGCCAAATTTCTTATCATTTTGATGATTCCAGAACCTTGCAGTACATCTATGCTAGATGATCAACCTTTTCTGATCGATTTCACAACGTTTCTTTCACAATGCAATTGCATGACCATAACTGGTCTTTAGCTTTAACTCCAATAAATTGTGACATTGTGAACATGCATAAATAAAATAAATAGATAAATAAATAAGATGAAAAATATCCTGAGTGCAAACAAAAATTCAAATTTCATCACGTTCATGTTTTTTTTTTAGTGTACAACAAACGTCGGCTACGGCTACGCAGGCCTCAGGTGGTCATATCTATCAAACTTTGAGTGTGGTTGATCTAAAAAGACTCAACGAAAGTTTCATTAAAGGGATTGGGTAACCTTGTCTCAGATTCTGAACGAAAATCCTGGATTTACTTTGTAGCTCATGCTGCAATGATAATTATAAACCTATAGGTCAGTCAGGAACTCCATGACTTTTACAAGCCGATCACATGTCTGATTATTAAGATATTTATGATTGGAAATCAAACTTTAAAAATTTGTTTTCCAGTCTATTGGAGAAAATGAGTATGGTAAAACCGGTCATTCAAAGATTTTTACATTTTTGAGGCACTTCATGATCATTTGAAGCGCAATTTTTTAGGGCTTCAATATTACACCATATCACAGACACTGATAACACGTAGGGCCATGCATCTTGGATTTAATTGTTAAACGAAGCATGTCTAGTCTATGCCAGAATAATATAATATACCAGAGTCGTGGAGCTGTGGAATAGTCTCCCAGAAAACATTGTGGCAGCTGGGTCGGTCAACTCATTTAAGAATAGACTTGATAGTCACTGTTCAAAGAATACAAGCCTTCTGTATGAGCCGGTCTAGGTGTTGTCTGTTGTCTCATGTTATTACACAACCTCCTCCCTCCACAAATACCATATTTGCTGGCGTAAAGGCCGCAGTATTTTTGGAAGAGAAAATATAAAAAAGTCGGGGTGCGGCCTTTGCGGCGAAAGAGTAAAAAAAAAAAAAAAAAACGAAAATCAAAATCAGCACAAATTTGCACTACGAACGGTAAAATAACTATACCACTATGGTACAGGACATTTCCACACAAACCGACAATTTTATCTTGCATTGTTGACATGAAGACGAAAATAAACTTCCTAAAACAACATTTGCCGATAGATCTTGATCGAAGTTCGTGCCAATGCATTGCAAAAGTAAAGGAAAGGACCGTTTAACGGAGCTGCCGCGAAGCATCCATCCGAAGTCGCCATTTTGTTTTCCATTTCCTGCAATTTCGCATTACACCGTACATTGTGGTAGAGGTATATATCGGACACCAAATCTGCCTGTGATCACTTCTTTAGCTAAACTTCCGGTAATATGAATATGAATGAATTTGGTATCAGTTTGTAAAAAAAAAATACGACTATTTTGTTTTGTCCGTTTTTTTTTTCCTTTGTTTTTGTTTTTTTTTTTTTTTTTTTCCCCTCTTTGAAATGTCAAAGTTGAGGTGCGGCCTATGCGGCGCTGCGGCCTTATCGCTGGCAAATACGGTAGCAGTAACCATTGAAGAATCCTGGATTGATGAACAGGCTCAGACCTACAACATCAGACAAAGTAAAGTAAAGTAATAATAATTATATGCCATTTCTGTGAAACACTAATCTTTGGCTTTAGAAGGGCTGGTCAGACTCACTTGGTTGTTCTTTACTTCTGATCTAACAGATGGAGACCAACATATTCCAGATGACGACAGGAGAGCGCGACGAGAAAGAGTTCCTACTCCGAGAAGCTGATGCAATCCGCAGATCCCCAAGCATCTACTGGCTTCCGCTGGGTTTGAAGTACCTCAAGGAATGCAGAGGATCCTTTTTTCTGAGTTGCATCACGCTCATGTGGGCGTACAACAGTTACTTTGTCCCAGCCCTGGTTCTCATACCGATGCACAGGGAACAGCAGATAGGAGCGTGGGTCATTTGGGGTGAGTTCTTGATATTTATTGGTCATTCTCTTTACTCTTAAAGGCATCATTTAACAACGTTAAATCTGAGATGCACGGCCCTAATGTACGTGTTGTCAGTGTCTGTGATATGGTGTTTATTGAAGCCCTAAATAAATTAAGCTTCAAAACGATCATGAGGTGCCTCAAAAAGTAAAAAATCTTTGGTGACCGGTTTTACCATGCATACTAATTTTCCCCAATAGACTGTAGTGTTATAAAAACGGTTAGGAAAACGAAAAATGAAATTTTGATTTGCAATCATGAATATCTTGATAATCAGACAGGCGATCAAAAGTCATGGGATTCCTGACTGACCGAAATGTTTATAATTATGATTGCATCATGAGCTATGCAGCATGAGCTCAATCCAGGATATTGTTTCAGAATCTGAGGCAATGTTACAGAGACACTTTAAGCTTTGATAATGCTATAGAATGTATTCTCTTCATGCTAGGGTGGGGTGGACTTCCTCCTTACTATTTCAGAGCGAGTATTGAAATATCAGTATGTGACGGACCATGCAACACATCATCCCTACCCTCTCATAGTTTAGGGTTAATGTTTGAATTACTGAATAACTAATGGACTTTGTTATCGAGCAATATTTTTCATTGATGGCGGGAATGTAATGATCTTTTAACTGTGTATGCGTTGATAATACTTTTACAACATCTTTTAACATGTTATCTGACATTCATTACCTACAATTTATCAATGTAAAGTATTTTATGTAATTTGGCATTTAATTAAATATGTTTTATTCACACTTGCAATTTGTATTTGTAATGTGTTTTAATCTTTGTAAAAACGTGTATAACTCAGTCTTTGTATTGCGAAACATGTTTCAATGAACCTTTATTGAATTGGAGAAGGAAAATAAATTAGTTCATATTGTCAATGTAACTTAGTAATTATCTCTCTTCTTTCTTGTTTACAGTCTTCATGTCTCTATCCCTTGCCACCATTGTTTGCCTGCTACGATCCTGCCTTTCTAATCCGGGCTACATTCCATTCCACAACAGACCTACAACGCTCGGTAAGAAAGAGAGATCGATTCGCAGCAAAATATATTTATTTTATTTATTTATTCATTCATTTCTTATCTTTTGTCAGGGTAGCCCATTCACCAATAAGTAGTGGTCTTCCATGGGGCCCTGAATAATTATGAACACATCTACATCAAAAAGCATAATGTTTATACAGAACAGATAAAACATATAATTTGATAGTACATTTAGAAGGATATAACACAGCAATAATAGATGTGGCACAAACGAATACTCGTTTGCATATATCAGTAACCTAGTGATGTTATATATTTCATGGAGGCTGTATTAAGTTGGGGTTGAAATATAATGGTACTGGGGAAATTCTGGATTTGGAGGTGAATACATTTTATACTGAATAATGAGATGCAATCAGGTATTTGCTACCCTTTAGAGTCGGGTCTTCTCAATAGATTCAGGTTAACTTCACGTCAGATGCACACAGCTAAGACAATGCAAATAATGGGTACACGCAGAGAAGAGAGATGTGCAGTCTAATTCACTTTTGTGTACCGTATGTGTTTTACTGTTTTAAAAAAATTGTCATATTACATGCTCGTGCACTTATTTAAGTGTCATGTAGCACTTACCATTAACAAATACCCTGTCACATGATAGCTAATAGCCAATAGGATGCTCTAAAAAAAATACCATATTTTATACAAAGATTTTATAGTGAAAGATGTACACAAAATAACATTACAAAATATTCTACAATTTACGATGATGTCAGAAGCAGAGAATTTGAAATCTAATAAATATTTACTATTTCTTTACTTTTCTATATTACAGACTCATAATGTAAGGATCATGTCCTTCATACCATTCATTTCAAGCATCAGAAAATATATACCGGTAATCCTAAAAATATGAAGCCATAAATTTGTCAAATTAAGTACTACATGTTATTTGTTTGTTCTATCCATACTGTGGGTATATAGATCAGATGAACTGGAGTCACTGCAAGAAATGTTTGATACAGCGCCCTCTCAAGTCGCACCACTGTAGCCGCTGTCAGCGATGTGTGAGGAGAATGGACCATCACTGTCCTTGGTAAGAATTTTGTCTGCTTGTTTGTTAGTTTGTTTGTTTGTTTGTGTATTATCTGGTCTTGAGCACTCTCTGAAAATAATTCATATTAATTATTTGTAATACTTGGAGGTGTTTGGTGTTTATTTTGCCCTTAAGATGAGAAATAAAGTTTGTGTATTTGGATTATTTAAAAGTTTTAAAAGGAATATTGAGAAATATTGATGGTTCTTTGAGAGTTGGATTAAAACTATTCTACATAAGGCAGGGTTGGCATATTTCCCGCTTCGGGCTTATTTCCCGGACGCCGGGAAATAAGCGGTATTTACTGCTTTTTACCGGTATTTACCACTTTTTACCGGGAAATACCGGGAAATATATTTTTCCACTCACTTCATAGGGATTGTCCAATTTTGAACATAATAACAATGGTGGTGAGTATGGTTGCTCTTGTGTGTACTATTTGTGTGTGTTGTGTGGTGTGTGTTGGTCGTGTGTTTGTCTATGTCTGTAATTATGTAATGCTGGAAAAATACAGGAAAAAGATACCAAATATACACCTAATCTAGATATGATGTTCTTCATTAAAGGGAACCAAAACCTTCATACTAAGTTACTTTTATTGTAAAGTTTAAGATATTTGAATAAAATCCGTGAAAAATTGAACAAAATCGGGCAAGGAATAAGGAAGTTAAAGCTTTTTAAAATGACTAGTCACTAGAGGGCGATATTCAATTTAATGACATCATTTGTGGACAACTCTCCATGCCTTTTGTACATCAAATTTCACAAGTCTTTCGTTTTTTATGCCTCCGCCCCACCAGGTGGTGCCGGAGGCATCATGTTTTCTGGTTGTCCGTCCGTATGTCCGTCCCATTTGACCGTTATCACAATATCTCAAGAACCATTTAAGATTTAAACTTAAGACTCGGAAATAGTATTTATCACCATAGGAAGACGATCTGATTAGATTTTGGAGCACGTATGTCAAAGGTCAAGGGTAACAGAGGTCAACTTATGAAATTCCATACATTGAGATTGTTATCATGATATCTCAAGAACCACTGGAGATTTAAACTTCAAACTTAGTGATAGTGTGTATCACTATAGGAAAACAATCTGATTACATTTTGGAGCACGTAGGTCAAAGGTCAAGGGTCATAGAGGTCAACTTATGAAATTCCATACATTGAGATTGTTATCATGATATCTCAAGAACCACTGGAGATGTAAAAACTTCAAACTTAAGGATAGTATGTATCACCATAGGAAGACGATCTGATTAGATTTTGGAGCACGTAGGTCAAAGGTCAAGGGTCACAGAGCTCAACTTATGAAATTCCTTACATTGAGATTGTTATCATAATATCTCAAGAACCACTGGAGATTTAAACTTCAAACTTAATGATAGTGTGTATCACCATAGGAAGACAATCTGATTAGATTTTGGAGCACGTAGGTCAAAGGTCAAGGGTCACAGAGGTCAATTTATGAAATTCCATACATTGAGATCGTTATCGCGATATCTCAAGAACCACTGGAGAATTTTCACTTCAAACTTAATGATAGTATGTATCACCATATCATAATATCTCAAGAACCACTGGAGATTTAAACTTCAAACTTAATGATAGTGTGTATCACCATAGGAAGACAATCTGATTAGATTTTGGAGCACGTAGGTCAAAGGTCAAGGGTCACAGAGGTCAACTTATGAAATTCCATACATTGAGATTGTTATCATGATATCTCAAGAACCACTGGAGATTTAAACTCCAAACTTGTTTAAATTGCTCTATGGCGGAGGCATCATTTTCGACTGCACGCAGTCAAAATTCCATCTAGTTTCCTATTTATTTGTGTTCTTGAACGGATTTCATAACATGTGTAGTAGAATATCATTTTGCATTCTATTATCTCAATCACAAGAAAAGGAAAAACGTGAAATTTGATGTACAAAAGGCATGGAGAGTTGTCCACAAATGATGTCATCAAGTTGAATATCGCCCTCTAGTGACTAGTCATTTCAAAAAGCTTTAACTTCCTTATTCCTTGCCCGATTTTGTTCAAATTTTCACTGATTTTATTCAAATATCTTAAACTTTACAATAAAAGTAACTTGTATGAAGGTTTTGGTTCCCAGTTGCTAATTACCATATTCATGAATACCTAATTAACATATGCACAAAATGCCATTTGTTTGGGTGTGTACAATTTTGTATGCAGTGAGGATTTTATAAATCTGTTTGTGTGTTCCTACTATGAGTATTGTGCTGCTAATTATTCCAGAACAATATTTTCAGTTATGAGGCTAAAAACAAGTAAAATTATTAATATATAGAGATTTAAAATCATATTTATCAGACGCGCATCTTATTTACCGAACGGTATTTAACGGTATTTACCGCCGGTAATTACCGCCACCCGTAATTTACCGCCCAACCCTGACATGATGTTTATCTACAGGAAGAAAAGACTCAGAGATCCCAGCTATCCTCAAAACCAAGGAAAACATAGAAAATGAGTTTCCTGTCTTCCAGTCAAGAAAAGTCAGTGAATTTTGATGATTTCGAGAAACATCACTCAATTCGCATTTTTTTTAAAATGGAAATTTGTTCTCGTAGCATCCTCGGAACCCTGCAGACAGTATACAAGATGTACCGGTACTCAAGAACTTGAGGAAAAACTCAACATTTAACATTTTGAAAACATCAATACTGCCCTCTTTTGAAACTTGCATGCCAACATGAATACCAGATAGCATCTGATAGCCTCTCAAGTTTCACACTGTAGCCGATGTTTGGGAAATTTTGTTCTCATGAAGAGTATGCTTGTAACCCTGCAGACAACATATATACAAGGATATGGGGCGCCAAGTGTTACCCTAGTTTTTCGGCATACAATCCCCTCATTTTGTTACAAAATTTGTACCAAATAAATTTTGTTACAAAATTATTTGTACCAAATTCATTTTGTTACAAAAATTTTACCGAATTAATTCATACAAAATGATTAGTACCGAATTCATTTTGTTACAAAACCATTTTTACCGAATTCATTATGTTACAAAATTATTTGTACCGAATCTATTTTGTTATTTTATACCGAAAAACTAGGGTAACACTTGGCGCCCCATACAAGGAGTTGTCAAGAAACTTGAGGAAAAATTCAACATTTACATTATGAAGACATCAATGCTGCCCTCTTTTGACACTTACATGTCAACATAAATACCAGATAGCAATCTTTATTTATTCATTCTCTTGTTCAAAGAAGATCGATGCTTGCATTTGCTGAATTGATTGATTCTAAAGCTGTAAGTAGGTACGCTTGAAATCTCATGATGTCCAATGCCCATCATCTAAAAGCACTCCAAGAAATTGACATCATTCATAGATTCTTATTAAATCAATATTGATTAAATGTTTAATATAATTTGTTCAATATTTGCAGAGATTATCCCCTTTATCCTCAGTCTTGACCCCCATTCTTGATCCCCAGTCTTAACCCATTCCACTCCCCCCCCCCCCCCCCATAAAAAACAACCGTATAGTGTATATTTTTATTAATTTTGCCTTAGCCGATGACAGTCGAGACTCCAGAGATATAGAGTAAGAATATCAATGGCCCTCTTGAGTCGAATATGTGTACATGTTCTCTGGTAGTCTTCTTTCTTTCCTTATATGCAAACAAAGATGAGTGCTTTTTGAGAATAGAGTACATTTGTTCTTATATATATATATATATATATATATATATTTTGTATGGGGGGGGGGGGTTTATTAGTAGTAGTAGTCTTTTTTGTTTTAATTAATCTTTTTTTGGGTGTGTGTGGAGGGGGGAGGGGTCCACAAAGAAATCTTAACACTCCTTTAGACAGTTTCCTTGTCTCATTTTTACCCCCTGATACTGCTGCAAATCATCAAATACTTCTTCTTCTTTTTTCTTACTCTGTACATAATGTAAATACATTGATGGAATTTTTGACTCAATAAACAGAAATGAATGAATGAATACAAATATTTTAAAAATCCAGAGTTGAAAATCATTTCCAGAGGTAAATTGTGTTTTGTCATTTTTTTTCCTTCTCTTCCATCCCTCCCTCCCCTCCCTCCCTCCCTCCCCTCCCTCCCCCTCCTCCTCCTCCTCCTCCTCCTCCTTCTCCTCCTCCTCCCCTCCTCTTTCTTCTTCTCCTTCTCCTTCTGTCTCTTCTTCTTCTTCTTCTTCTTCTTCTCCTTCTTCTTCTCCTTCTTCTCCTTCTTCTTCTCCTTCTTCTCCTTCTTCTTCTTCTTCTCCTTCTTCTTCTTCTCCTTCTCCTTCTTCTTCTCCTTCTTCTTCTTCTTCTTCTCCTTCTTCTTCTTCTTCTTCTCCTTCTTCTTCTCCTTCTTCTTCTCCTTCTTCTTCTTCTTCTTCTTCTTCTCCTTCTTCTTCTTCTTCTTCTTCTCCTTCTTCTTCTCCTTCTTCTCCTTCTTCTTCTCCTTCTTCTTCTCCTTCTTCTCCTTCTTCTCCTTCTTCTTCTACTTCTTCTCCTCCTCCTTTTTCTCCTTTTCCTTCTTTCTTTCTCTCCCTTTATCCTTCCCCCTTATGTTTCTCTCTCTCCTTCTCCTTCTCCCTATCCCTCTCTTTCTCCTTCTTCTCCTTCATCTTCTCCTCCTCCCCTCCTCCTTTTCTCCTCCTTCATCTTGCTCTTTACCTCACTCCTCTATTTCTCCTTCTCCTTCTTCCTGTCCTTCTTTTTCTCCTTATCCTTCTTATGCTCAAAGCAACAAAAAAACGTTAAACATCTATCAATCTGTAAAGACTTATTTTTCTCATCATATACATATGTACAGATGCTGTCTAGAATAAAATGTAACCATATAAGGAGTTGATAGCTTGTACGTGTGTAGCCATATAAGGAGTTAATGTAACCATATAAGGAAAGAGATAATAGCTTGTACATGTGTTCATATGTATTATCTCAGGAGTATTTATCTTGTAACTTAATATTGTCTATTGCTTGACCAGTCAATAAGCTTAATAGC